TTTCTGAAGAAGGGTCTCAACCCGAAACGTCAACTTTCCTGCTCCTCTGATGCTGCCTGGCCTGCTGTGTTCCTCCAGCTCCATACTGTGTTATCTCTGACTCCAGCATCTGCAGTTCTTACTACGTCTAATGCTTTCAGTGCATCCCTTCAGCACAACCAGAAAATTAAACACCATTTTCCCAGAATATTAACATGTTACCATCCCTTGCCCCTCCTTAAAACACGCCTCTTTCACCAGTCCTTGTGTCTTGCTTTTGCTCAGCGTCCATTTATTAACACCTTTCTAAATAACCTCAACACAGTCGGTTCTGCTATAACGCGTGTTCCATCAACGCGAATTGGCTATAACACGATTAACAAATAGTGGAATGCTATTTCTACAATGCAAACTTTTTGTTGTCTATAACACAATTCCATCGGTGCATGGGGGAGTATGCGTTGAAATCACATGATCGTTTCACAGGCTTTGTCATGAATACGTACAATGTTAGCGTCGAAAGTCTCTGCGCTGGCATCACGTGATCATTTTGCAGGCTTTGTTGTGAAGTGCTTTCTGAGAAAGATACAGTACAACCTCCTCCCCCATCAAGTCATCTTGACATTTTTTCACGGTAATGTGTTAAATTTACTTTTATTTCATTATTAGACATGAATTAAATATTTATTCAAATTGTGCTATCTTTTGTGTTAGGCTTTTGAGTGATTTTCTTTGGTGGTTTTCTATAATGCCATCTTGCACAGGAATGCAACTATCACATTATAGCAGAACTGACTGTATGTTTATATGGGTTAAGTGCTTCACAAATTAAATTTCCAAGGATCAACCTTTCTATTTTTAGGTGCATCTGTTTTCAGTCCTGGTTTTATTACAGAAAGTAGCGGTGTTTATATCATACTATCATGGCCTCAGATAGCCAAACATCCATTAACCACTGTTTTAAGTGAAGTTAATGTTATGTAGACTAAGATAACAGCCCATAATGCTCACAGCAAAATCTCATGTACAGAAAATAAATAAGTTTAATTTTACTTTAGAAATACATTTGTGGGATGTGGGAGTTGCAGGCTACATGAGTGTAGCCCATTCCTAATTTCCTGGGAAGGTAGGGTGGCAGTCAGTTAATGATCACTTAAGAAACTTATCCACATGGAATGCAACCATATTAGCTCCAGGCAGAACGAGAAAGAGTTCTACCTGACTAGTAAACCAGTGCAGGTAGGCTTTCAGCTTGACGCAATCCCCTCCATCCCTCATGGCCCTTTAGCTGTCCATAACCACGTCACAAATGGCGCTTAGTCCCAGGATAAAACATCAGCCACGGGAAAGGTGGAAGTGGTTCAGTGGGGGTGTTACCTCAGCAGCAGCCATAGCCTCCAATCATCTTTCCTAACCCAGGATCCTGCAGTAGAAAGCCCACAGGCAGCCCATCAGCTGCCAGATTGCTGGAAGATAATACAGACTCTTTCATCGAGGAAGTCCATTTGTTTCTTTCCTAGAAACTCTCCTGATTTCAAATTTAGCCTGAAAATGCTCTGATGAAGATGGGTATGAGCTGCCTTCTTTAACAACTAGAATCCACATGCTGTAGGTGGATATACAATGCCATTAGGGAGGGAATGCCCAAGACAGAAACAAGTGCAACTTGCAAGCAACGTTACTGGTGGTAGTGTTCCCATGAGTCTTCTGACATTGTCCTAAGTGGTGGAGATTGCTGCTTTGGAAAACACTGTGGTGAGCTGCTGCAGTGCATTTTGCAATTGCACCTTGTAGATGGTGGACTTACCTAGGGCAGATCCTCCCACCCATTTAAGGCAGAAGTTAATCCAAAAAAAGAAAGCATTTGATAGATTTAAGTAAGTTATTAAGAACATAATTCTTACCTCTTCATTGTACTCTTTTACATGTTGTCTGATTTTTGAGGAGTCCACCCAGGTTATGTAGTCTTCCGTATTTCTGTTAATTTAGTACAAAAATTGCACATCAACACAGATACTCAAATTATTTGCACTACCTTGCACTAATTAAGTGATAGTGCACTTATAACTTCACCTGCTTATCCCTTTACCTGCTTTAACCAGTATTTCCAGTTTTACCCTGATCTACATGCTGACATGTTTACGCTGTCAGGCACTTTCATCAACTGAAAGGAGAAAATCATGCATCCCAAAGGCTGACACACCCAATTCTTATGCCTTTTTCAAAATAAAACTAGTTTTGAAGCAACTTGATACTTCCTAATCTGAGACAGGCCAAGTTCAAATTTAAAGCAGCCATAATGTAATGATCCAAGACACATCACAGAAGAATTATACAATATAATACTAAACTATATAAGACATTAGGACAGATACACAGCGCTTTGCATCGTCACACAGCAACAGGGCCCGAAGCAGACTCGATGGGCCAAATGGCCTCTTTCTGCACTGTAGAAATTCTATGATCCTATTGGAAAAAGACATGCCAGCCTGTGGGCAGTGTAAGTACTCAGCCTGTATCTAGTAACATTCTTTGGGCAGGATGGGTAAAGGAGCCAGTTATGCCTGCTCCAATGCATAAATGACCCAAATGCCAATCTGGCTTGCAGATTTCTCTGGTGTACTTTATTTCGCTTGCAATAACAATCCTTATAGTGATGGAGAAACTCCTTCTTCTGTTGTTGATATTGAGGAACCCACTGAAAATATGTTTTCTGACAATATCAGCTGTTATTAGAATTTGGAAATCAAAGCCAAACTATGGAAAGTAAAATGAAAGTTAAAACAGCTGTTCTGAGATACAAGTGATGCTTATTCTACTATATCCAACTACAAACAATATGATTCAGCCTGTCTTCCAATAGAGTTTGCATTCACAGCACAAGTGTAATTGTTATAAAGTAGACTAAGTCCCCTATGAACCAACATCTGCATTTTACATGTGCTACAAATGGAATAGGATGGCATGGGATAAGTTACCTCCAATTACAGTATGTCTTAAAGGGAAGGAAGTTCTGTTCCATCTATTAATGTACCCAAAGTGTTTAATACGTTAAAAGACTAGACAAAGAGCTAAAGCTCACAGTCAAAATAATGACAAAGTTGAAAAAAGGGGGCAAAGATACCTTAAGAACTAGAATGCAGGGGAAAAAATACAATGCAATATAAAACAGAAAATGCTACAAAACTTCAACAGGTCAGGAGAGAAAAAGAAAGTTTGTATTTCAGATCAGTGACTTGTCAAAAAGCTGAACAGATTTCCAGCGGTTTCATTCATTTTTCAGATCTCCAGCATTTGCAATATTTTGCTTTCATAGGCAACATATAACTGCTTATGTCAAGTGAAAGTAAATGACTAGGTTTATGCCTTAAACTCTACATTGGAATGGCTGCATGCCAGATATAAATGTTTTTAGGAATACATGGTCTTCAGGTACACAGGATTTTCTGCATAGATTAGGCATCACAATGGCACATTCTAATCACAAGGATAAAGCAATAAAAAAGGACATCACATTAACAGGCAATGTGCAAATTACAGATTTTCCAAAGGCTAGTGTATTATTTAGTTACCTTTCCCCAGCAAACAATGGTCAATAGTTTCCATTGGAGAGTATAAAGGACTAAATTCTTTCCTCTCTTCTGCTGATTTGGTCTCCCTGAATATATCAAATTTGAATTAGATGCATTCATCCTTTAGGATCAGAGTAAACATGCTCCAACCCTCAAACCCAACTAGCCAGAGTACAATGAATCAAACATGTGGAATCCCAGTGACTACCCCTGATATTGGATGTGAAGATTTAAATATGGGGACTTCTGGTCTGTTGCTGTTAACCACCAACCTCATGAGAGGCATAGATAAAGTAGATAGCTAACAGCTTTATCCCCCATGGTAGAGGAGTCTAAAACTAGAGGGTATAAGTTTAAGGTGAGGGGAGAAAGAAAAAAAAGGGTCCAGGGGGGCAATTTTTTCACACTGGGTGGTGAGTGTCTGGAACGGGCTGCCAGAGGTAGTGGTGGAAGCGAGTACTATTTGTTATTTAAAGGAACATTTAGGCAGGTACATGGATGGGATAGGTATGCAGGGATAATGACCAAACACAGGCACATGGAACTAGTTTGAATTTTGAAAACTGGCCTGCACAGGCAAGTTGGGCCTGTTTCCATGCTGCAAACCTCTATGACTCTATTATGAGAAATAAAGGAACATGTGGCTATATCTGTGAATATGTTACTACCTGTAGAACTCATTTCACACCACTAGGAGGGGACAGCCCCTTTACAATGAAGTCCTTCACAATGTGAAAGTACATTTGCACATGACTGACATAAAATAGTGTCTTCAAAACTTGGTTGCCATTTTTGTCATATATCAGAACTGTTGGTGCAGACCAGCTCAACTTTTGACCCGAGGATCCAATCACAATTCAATTCAGGGCTGGTTAGAAACTCTCAAAATGCCTGCTGTCAGCATGTTTAATTGTAAAAAAAAAATTGAAATGTATCAACAGTGTAGTACATGTCACATTTGTGAATGAACTAATTTTTATTCTTTTTCAAAGAAAGACAATTTTTAAAAATAAATAATCTCTCTGCATCACACTCCCAACTCCTTTCAGTTTAGCTCTAAAAGCTGTGACTGGCTATGCTTTGTAGCTCTGTGATGCTGTCTTGCCTCATCTCCAGGAGGCAATGAGGTGACAATATGCACAGTCGATTTTCCGTCCACACAAGGTTAAGCCATGACCTCTGCAGACAGTCTGGTTGCACTGTCGAAGCTAAATGTGTCAGAGAATTGTTACTGCGCAAGAGGCAGTTGTTCGGCCCATCATATCTGCAACAGTTCCCCAGATGATAATCTAACAAAGTATAATTTTTCCTGCCTTTTCCCCATTACACCGCACAATATTCCTTCTCAAATAGTCACCTAAATCCCTTTCATGTCTTCACTAAACCTACCTCTACCATGCTTTCAGGCAGCATAATCCAGAACCTAATCACACCTGCTGTGTGAAATTTTCTCATAATATTACTTTTGCTTCTGTTACTCAATGCCTTAAATCTGTGGCATTTCACGAGTGGGAACACGTCCTACCTAGCTACTCGGTCATAAACTCTCATGATTTTTAATATTTACAGAGTCATACAGCATGGAAACAGACCCCTTGGTCCAACTTGTCCATACCAACCAGGTTTCCCAAACTAAACTAGTCCCATTTGGTCCATGTATCTCCAAACCTTTCCTATTCATGTATCTGTCCAGATGTCTTTTAAATGTTGTAACTGTACCTGCATCTACCACTTCCTGTGGCAGTTCATTCCACATATGAACAATCCTCTGTATGAAAAAGCTGCCCCTTAGGTCCCTTTTAAATCTTTCTCCTCTCATTTTACAAATATGGCCTCTAGTTTTGAACTCCAATATCCTAGGAAAAGACCTTTGCTAATCACCTTATCTATGCCCCTAATGATTTTATAAATCTCTATAAAGATCACCCCTCAACCTACTACGCTCCAGACAAAGTAATTTCAGTCTATCCAGCTTCTAATAACTCAAACCCTACAGTCCCTGCAAAATCCAGGTAAATCTTTTCTGTATCCTTTCCAATTTAATACTATCCTTCCAACAGTAGGGTGATCAGAACTGTACACAGTACTTCAAAAGTGGCCTCACCAACATCCTGTACAACCTCAACACGCCATCCCAACTCCTCTACTCAATGCTCTGACCAATGAAGGCAAGTGTGCCTTCTTCATTACCCTGTCTACCTGTGAAGGCACTTTCAAGAAACTATGTACCTGAGCCCCCGGATCTCTGTTCGGCAACATTCCCCAGGGCCCTGGCATTAACTATATAAGTCCTGCCCTTTTTTGTCTTACCAAAATGCAAAATCAAGATCTCGTGTATTCTTAGAAAACCTTCTTCACTGTCCTGTATACCATCCAAATCATTTATATAAAATGACATACACCAGTGGACCCAGTGCCGATCCTTGTGGCACACTGCTGTTTGCAAGCCTCCAGTCTGAAAAACCCTCTACCAAACTCTGTCTCCTACCATCAAGCTAATTTTGTATCCAACTGGCTAGCTCTCCCTGGATCCCATGTGATCTAACTTTACTAACTTGTTTGCCACGTGGAACCTTGTCAAAGGCTTTGCTTATGTCCATGTTGACAACATCTACAGCTCTGCTCTCATCTATCTTCTTGATCGCGTCCTCAAAGACCTCAATTAAGTTTGTGATACATGATTTCCCATGCACAAAATCATGCCGACTATCCCTAATCAGTGCTTGTCTCTCCAAATGCATGTAGATCCTGTCTCTCAGAATCCCCTCCAACAACTTACCCATCACTGATGTCAGACTCACCGGTCTATAGTTCCCAGGCTTTTCCCTGCAGCCTTTCTTAAATAAAGCACAAATTCCCACTCTCCAGTCTTCCAGCACCTCACCCATGGCTGAGGATGATAGAAATATCTTTACTAGGGGCCCTGCAATTTCTTCTCTAGCTTCCCACGATGTCCTGGGATACACTTGATCAGGTGCCAAAGATTTATCTACCTTTATGTATTTATTTTTATACCTTTATTTCAATCAGATCTCCCCTTAACCTTCACTTCTGAGTTTCTCCAATCAATATTCGTAACTGAAATTTGTCAACCCTGAAACCATTCTTATCCTCTTCTGCAGTCTTTCCAATACCTTCACACCCTTCCTAAAGTGTGGTGCCCAGAAGTGGATGCAATCCTCCAGGTGAGGTCAAACTAGAGTCCTACTAAAGTTAACATTACCTCCATGCTCTTGTACTCTATGCCCCTGTCAGTAATGTCCAGGTACTAAGTGATTTATTAACTACTCTTTCAACCTGTTCTTATAGCCTTAAAGACAGATGCACATATACACCCAGATTCTTCTGTTTCTGTGCACCCTTTGTTTTATATTGTCTCTTTGTGCTCTTCCTATGAAAATGTAT